TGAAATCGATCAAAAGCCCACGGCAATAAGACTAACATAAATCAATATCAGAATGTAGAATATATCAATATTGAATTTTGAGGTACGATTTTAAATCTTACAGTAGTTGGGACTAAAGGACTGAAGAATTAATGTTGTCACAGTGGAGTAGGAGTCTGCTGTTATGATACTCTTTGTTTTTGACCTTTCGCTTTAGGAACATTATGGAAAACCTTCATTGAATCATATATTTTTTTAGCGTGGAAATTCCTCGTACAGCCTCCATCCCTTCTTCTCGCTGTTGTATAAGCATTAGCCAATGTCCTTTGTCCTGTGTACCAACACTGAAAACCTCCTGGCAACATTTCCAGAACCTCGAGATGTGGCCTTCAGTCATTTCAAATGCACAGTCCTGTGGGCTCAGATCATAAGGGTCGGACATCAGGGCCTCTCAGTGACCATTTGAGATTGGAGCCTGTTCCACTTCTCAGAGTGGTGCAGCTGATACTTGAGAATCAACAGATTTGTTGCACCAAGTTCTGCGAGCAATGGTTCGCAGATGGGCAGCGATTAATCAGAGAGGTAACTGTGAAGTAGTTTGCAATTAAACTGGAAAGCTCTGAGGCATGCTAATTGAATCAGAAAATTAGCGACAGCTCTGTACTGAGCTGTAATAGGCTAGCAGCATCCTGCGGCAGGTGCTAGCCCACTCAGCTGTGGAACAAGGTATTTAAGTCACATTAACAGCAGTAAAAATATTCCTTGATATGGAACAGTTAGATTTTCTGCTCGTTTTCACCGCCCATGTCACCAGGAAGAGCCAAACTTAATTAATGTGTTGGAGGAACACAAGACATTTTAACAGCATAGAAAATGAGCTGGATAGTATCGTGTAAACGGCACATGACGCGTGCAGTTTAGCAGCGAAAATGCAGAAAGCCTCTCTGTTCACTTATCGTGATTGCAAATATTTGTCTGTTTTTATTCTGGCAATTGTTCTCCTGCCTCCAATCCTCTGCTCATCTGCGGTCTCCTTGCCTGCACTCTCCACATCTACCACCACCCCCTCTTCCTCCTTCCTGTAGCCTCCCCAGGGGTCCTGTTTGCTGACATCTCTCTCTGACACAACATGAAAAAGTGGTGAGAAATTAAAAATTGATCACTTTTGAGCACAGGGTTGCCGTCTCCTCTTCTCACTGGCTAAGAGAGGGAAAGAGAGAGGGAGGGAGAGGGTTTTTTTTGTGGGAAGGCTGCACAAGCAAAAGTTCTTTCAGGGTTGCTGTAGAGCCCGAGTAAGGGGAGGGGGAGCGAGTGAGGCAGCTGAGAGAAGGGTGTGCAAAGGCAAAGAGAGTGATGTTGAGGTGGAGAATTCCCCAGGCAGACAGTGTTGTGCCTTGTGGTTCTGGCTTTAAAGCATGCTGCGTGCCACACATACAGTAGGAGCAGAGGCCATGGCAGAGAGGGGAAGGGTGCGTTTAAGTGTGTGTGTGTGAGAGAGAGAGAGAGTGTCTGTATTTGTGAGAGTATGGGTGTTAGCATTTCAGGCAGACAGCATCCTCTTTTCTGCCTGTTGAGCCCCCCAGTCCTCCTCAACATTCCGATCCTGCCCTGGCTCTGCTCACTCTGATATCTTCATCAGACACGCCTGCCTGTAAACACACTTTCACACACACACACACACAAAGATGCATTACACTGTTGCTCGAGCAAATACACAATCACACATTACAGTCAACGTACAGCTGAGCTCGCAGACACAGCTGTTTATATTGTCTTCCCAACACAAGCACACTCGTACACAAATAAAGCCTTTATGCGTTTTTCAGCTGTGTGTTTGATCATGCTCATAAGACTGATTATGCCCTCTGTACCTATACGCCCAGTTTATTGATTTGTGTTTGTGTCTGTGTTCATATGTGTCTGTGTCTGTGCTCGGTCAGAAATGAGAGGAGATAGAATGAGGTCTTAGGCTGATGAAAAGCTGTCCGCTATAAACCAATGTCATGCATTGATTTTCCTGGTAATGAGTTCCCAGAATGTAGACGAGCACATGGAGGCATTGAAACATACACATGTACATGCACATGTCACGAGCACTTCTGTTTTCAAGGAAACATACATAAGAGATAGGTAATGAGAGCATGTATCTAAAATGTATCAAGGGTTGGAAAAAAATATGTCTAGCAGATAATCTTCAATGTCACTTAATTAAATTGCTTCTTTTTTATTTGTTGCATTGCTTTAGCTAATCACGTGTACCTTATTTCTAAAAGCAGAAGTTTTTGCTAAGTAGCTAATTAATATTATCCCTGTCCTTATATATCGCATGTGCCCCCAATTCCTGTTAATATTTGCTGCATGTGCTTTCACGGCTCCGGCACAAATCCGAACTCTGTACTGTTCACCCCTCCAAAATTAGTCAGAGGAGCCTGGCTTTCCTAAAGACTCTTTCTTTATCTCCGCACCCCTCTCTCTCTCTTCCTCTGCTTCTTTCTCTCCCCTGCTGAGAGGATAAGGGCACTCCCACTCTTAGTCAACTGTAGGGCATTTTCACTGAGGTAACTGTGAGGTTAGCTTGATCAGCTTTTAGTTATAGGAAAACTTTGGCACCTGCCGCGCAATGGGCCCTCAGGCACTTTGGTGTACTTTTACTTTCAGTGTTTACCTCAAGTACCCGGTCATTCTCCATGCGCAACTTTTTTTTAATCAGTTATACAACAGAACAGAGAGTTGCATCATGCAGTTTGTCCAAATGGGTTAATTTCTATCTTTCTCTTTGATGCCCTGACGATAATATCCTCTGACGGGTCATGTGGTTCTTTAGGGGTCTAATCAAATCGCGCTATTCCAGCAAGTGCAGAGAAATTCCTCCAAGCATGTTCCCTCCCAGTGCAGCTGCAACAACTCTGCTCCCGGCTGCATATTCCAACACCAGCTTGTTAAACAATTTCAAATCTCAACGCCAACTCTGGCCTATTCATGCCCCCCCAAAGCCCTCCCTCTATCCCTCCATCCCTCCCTCTGTCCCTCCTCTGATCCCATTTCACAGTGGAACCATCAGGAGCTTATCCCAATCTCAGCCTTGGCCCAGGGCCCAAAGCAGTGCAGGGCCCGCCTGAACTCAGCTGTGAACTCTCAACCTTTCCTTCAGTGCCCTTCACTCCTCAGTCAGCTGCCTCCCCCTTTTACCCAGACTCCATCTCTGCCTATTTTAGGAGGGTTTTGGATGAGGGCCTTTATATGCACTGGGTGCTCTTATGCACAGTTTACAGGGCACGTCTAAACACACTCAGGGTGTCGAGTAGAGCTCAACAATAACATAAACTCTCTGCTATTATCCAGACAGCAGCCAAGACACCAACAAGCCACCCAACTAGGCAGCCAGCCAGCCAGCTAGTCAGCTATCTGGCCAGGGAGTCACACTGCTGCATGCTGTCAGCCGAACAATTATCATAGTAGCCACCTAGCCCATCGGCCAGCCAGCCATCATGAACATTGCAAAGCTCGGCTAACTAACACTGCTCTGAAAATGTGTCCCCTGAGTAGAAAAGGCGATTGTGCTAATTTCCTTTTTCTCACTTTGTTTTTAAAACCACTAAGTATGTCAGCTGGCACTGGCTAGTGGCTAATGACAGAAGTCCCAGCCAAAAGACTGTAAGTCTCTGTTTTAGTCATTGCAGACACAAACCAGCAGCTTTAGCCTTGACAACTTCTACTTTCCATGTTGCACTGAGCTTAATTTCGCTCTCCATGTCTCTCTTGGGACAGACTGTATTTCCTGAGTATCAGGAGTTATAATAATGAGATTGGGGTTTTAAAGACTTGCGCTCAGTCCATAGTGTGTGCCACTGGTCATGCTATTCTGGCCTCTCCCTCCGAATGCTCTGCTGACATTTAAGGGGTCAAGAGAAGGTCAGGATTAATGCGCTGTTCTATATAAGGGACTGAGCAAATAATGTTTGTTCACCTAACAGTTACAGTAAAGGCCAAAACTTGAGAATTTAGGTGAGATAATGTGATTTTGAAGAACATGTAAATGCAGTTGCTTAGTTATTTGCAGGACTGGCATTTAGCATTTTCAGTATAATGGACATGTAGTATGTAAATTGTAAACATAACCCCCATAGGCAGAGGTAATAAAAGTCAACGTTAGTATAGAGTGAAGGACTATAGTTGTCGAAACCTTTTGGAGTTATTCTGGTGTGTTTGCTCAGTGTCCACAATGGGCAGTGCTGGTGATGTCTGTTGCATTAGCGAATGTATCTGACCCCGTTTGGAGAAGCATGCAGCAAAGGTGTTGACAGGACAGAGGTGCTCCGTGGCTCTAAACTCCCTTTAAACTACCTTTGGCCGAGCCGAAGCTAAAAGTGCTCATCATATCAGCTCTCTGCTGTACTCACAGAGGGAGGAAGGAGAGATAGGAAGGTAAGAGCAGTATCCTGGGCTCTATTGGAAAGAGGTTGCAAGGTTTTATGACATTATGTTGGCTTCTCATATTTTTCACTGAAGAGATTTACCTACAGTATGTGTTTATGAATGCCCACACTTGTGTATGCTTGTGTATCTGTGTCTCTGTGGGGTATCTTAATTAATAGTGTGTGTATGTGAATGTGTGTGTGTGATCTCAGTGACACGCATCCCCTTTATGAGAGGCACATCACACTACAGATGACCCTGTTGGATGGCGATGGCCCTTTTAACTACAGCACCCTGATGCAATCCCCTGTAAATACATTAAACCAAGCTGCAGAGGAGGAAGCTGCTTATCCATCCTCCCTGGCTCTTTCTCCATCTCTCTTTCCCTCTCTTGCTCTATTCTTGGTCTTTATCCCATTTTACCTCTCCCTCTCTCTCATTTGCTTTGTGTCCGTGTCGCTGTATTTGTGTCATTCTTGCTTTTCTTTTATGCACTTTCTGGTTTCCGTCCTCGTCGCTATCTGAAAGTACAGCATACAGACACTCCCTAGTCACTGAGCTACACTGACTAACCTCTGCCGATCTGGTTCACCCGCTCTCCTTAGCCACACTGCCTGCTGCCCACCTTTACCGCCAACCCCACCCCTCATTGCCTCGCACCCCGGCTGGACAAGAGTATCAGCCCAAACCTGCCTTGGGGTCACAGGGACTGCCAAAGGTGCGATGAGTGACGTGGCACTCTGGCTGACCCCTGGCAGCTTGGCAGGGCTGCCTCCCTAATGAGATTAGCTGGGTAATGCCGACTCTGTGTCTGTTTCTCCTGCCGCCCAGCCTGGCCCACCCTGGGGCTCTTTATTTAGCCAGCAGCAGGACAGGGTGTGCCAGCATTCGCAGGTCGAGGGCAGGACAGGACCCACAAGCCCACTACCCTCGCTCGTCCCTTGCCCGTACCATACCTATCTGAGCTGACCAGCCAGGGGCTTCACCATTATGCATTGTTTTTGTCTCTACACATGGCTGTGTCTAACTTCATCAATAAATCTCTGTCTGTCTCACTTGGTTCCTGTGACTTAGCGTAGCGTGCTCATTCCTTGTCTTGTCTGTCTTCCTCATCTTTCTCAGCTCTCTCATCAGTCATTAAACACACAGGTAAAATTGCTTTTTATTGGATGACCAGAACAAAACAAGGCAATGATCAAACAATGCCCCGATCCCTTGAAACACATGCACACACATAAACACACACACACAAACACTATTCAGAGCCAGGCGACCGAGCAAGGAACCCCGGAAACTCAGCTCTCATGTATACGTGTGACTGGCTTTGATGATTGCTCATAGCAGCGTAAAGTGCAAAGCTGCTCAGTGTACCGCTCTGTGAAGACACAGACTTAGACTGTATTACCAAAGCTGTGGCCACCAGCCGGGAACTAGTTAGGTAGCCATTCAGCTACTTTTTACAATCTTCAGTCAGAACATGATATTAAAGTTGCTTTCTCTGTTTTACTATTATCCTCTTTGCCTTTCCAGCCTCTTTGTCCCTTTGTTTAGATGGCTCAGAGAGATGTTGCTACCCTTATTAGCAGTGTGCAAGTTTAAGTGCCATTTTAATGCCTCCAATTTTGTCAACGTCGAGAGATGAGGCAGCCCCCCATGGCACAGGTGTGCCCCCCTCATCTCTAGGGTCACATTCATTCTTAGAGTGTGTGACAGCTCCTGTGAGTCTGACAGTGCTGTGAAGTCCAGCCCAGGTGTTCTTACACATACGTGTGTCTGTGTGTGTGTGTGTGTGTGTGTGTGTGTGTGTGTGTGTGTGTGTGTGTGTGTGTGTGTGTGTGTGTGTGTGTGTGTGTGTGTGTGTGTGCGTGCACCAGCACCTGCTTGGCTCTGGTCCTGGGGCTCAGACAGGTTCAAGTTCCACCCAAACAAACATCCTGTACCCGTCGCTTATGAGACATGTGTGCATGTGTTCAAATGTACGTTTGTCTGCATATGACTGACAAGTGTAATCATCTTACTTATGCCGTAGGCCCTCTGTGCTCATCATTTACACTTAAGGATTGTGTTACCTACACTTTGTCAAAGAAGAAGAGCTGCTCTTCACCTCGTGATTGCTCCCACGTCTGAGGTTTGGAATCAGCCTCTGATATTCTGTGTCTCTACTCATTTCTGTCAACATGAGAACACTATGGACAAATGTGCCACCCTCTGCCAAGAGCAATATTTAGAGTGGTGATCTAGCTTTAACCCGAATCCCCTTCTCTGTGTTTCAGTTTAACACCTCTCTTTCACATGCGCATGCCAGAATCCTCGCTGAAAAGACCTCTCTCTCTCTCTCGCTCTCTCTCTCTGTCTATTGGCTCAGCACAGACAAGTCACAAGATGCATGCTGAAAAGAGCAGAGATGCACACACAAACATATATACTGCTGACCACCCCCATACTGTATCACTTTGCTGATATGAACCTTTAGAAAAGAGAAAGAAAAGAAATTGTGAGGTAGATTTAGAGACATCCATGTTAATCTCAAAAGAGCGTTCCAAACATATTAGCCATGCAGTTGGATGCACAAGAAACTTAATTAACTGGAGACCTTGTCCATAGATGGCAGGTCAAGGAAATGTCACCCACACAGCACCTCATCTTTTCTTGTCAAGGCATCGCTCTACATTTTTACAAACTGAATATCTCCCTCAACCTTTTAAACTCTGTTTATATCTTTAGAAGTCCCAGAAAAAACATACTCTATTTTCCTATACACCAATTTCCTATACACCAATTCCTGCTTAATTTATATATGTGTGTGTATATAAGTTTTAATGTTGTGGCTGTCTATGTACCAAAAGGCATCATTAGGTAAAGGCTTAAAACACTATGTGAGACATTAGGAAGACTTGTCAACATGTAAGAAGCTGAAAAAACTGTACAATTGGCCACCAAGATGGGAGATTAAAATCTTGCCATACAATTTAGCACAGAAGAAATGCTGCTGTAGTAAGGCCATGAAGACAACAAAGCAATAAACATCTTGAACATCTTGAAAGCACACCCAGGGAGCGGCCTTCATGTTGTCCAAGGCTGCCTAGAGAGCACACATTGGAAAGGATAAACATCTATATTGTTTACTGTTATACTTCTGACAGTGACTATGGGAGAAGGGAAGAATTGTTTAGTATACTGTTCACCATCATTCAGAACTGCTCAAGAACAGACATCACCATTGTAAGTCGTTGACTTCAACGCCTTGACTAGAAGAGACAATACAGACAAGGTCTAGGAGAGATGAATGACAACTTAGAGAAATTCCCAGATTTTGGGCCACCAGCAACCTTTTCATCAGAGGTAGCATTTTTCCTCCAGACATAAAGATACGTAAAGTTACCGAGTTATCACCAGAACTTTCCATTGAAAACCACATTGACCATGCGTACATCGCAAAGAAGTTCAGGAGTTCCCTTCCAAATGTATGTTAGACAACGAGCCAATGTTTCTTCAGGCCATCGTGTTTTGGTTGTGTGAAGCTGAGGTTGAAGAGAAATTGGACATTGGAGTGAAGAAGCTATGATATAACAGGGAAAAGAAACTGAGGCTGACCTTGAACCACCTGATGCCGAGACCTAGATATAGAGGCCTTGAGGATTGGCCACACATGAGAGGTTGGCTCAAGACCAGCATGTTCGGACAACCCTTGTTGATGGCTTAAGTAAATACAGTACGTAAGGAGGACGCTGCAAATTCTCTCTTTCTCTATTTTACTTTTATTTCAATAATGGATAACATTTTATAGTTTAACTATATCTCATGTTATTTTTGATACCCATTTTTCATGTCTTTCAATTATTCTCAAAAAGAAAAATATCCTATGACATGCAATGTTCCAGAATAAACGTGCATGACATTAACATGAGAATCCCAAAGTGAGTTTCTGTTCAGCTGGAGAGGTCAAGTTTATATGCCTCTCAGATTTTCCTATAAGGCTTTCTATCCAGTTGTAATGAATTGAACACTCTACCATTTATAAGACTCTAGCTCATTTCCAGTTTGTAATCCTTTGGTTGAATGGTCGATTGGGTCTGAGACATTTTTCACTGTGCCAACTATCCATTTTGTTTAGCTCGGTTGCATTTTAAACAAACTATTGTACTCCCAGCAAAATCTGCAGGAGATTGTGAGAGTACATATGAATGAAAGCCCTCTTCTTATGCATACAGTATTGCTGCTTGAGTGTGTGTTTGGGTTTTCTTTCTTTACCGCTATGTGAGCCACAGGGTGTGGTGCACAGCTCAGGATCTGTGGGGTGGCCCATCATGCTTTGCCCTTACAGAAACACTGGAGCAGGACAGCCCTAAGCCATATGGCAGGGGTCCCTGGTCTGTTGGCTGACAAGTAACATTTTGACCGCAGCACAAACACAACATCCACCCCCCTGGAGACTGAAGACTGAGGCTTTGGGCTGTTTAACAGTAGGGACTGGACTGTTAGAGAACTCCAGGCTTCATGCAGTGTGCAGTTAGAGGCTAAGCACCCCAAAGAGTGTCATATTTAAAAATGAATCAGGAAAGTCTGCACCAGAGGCTATAAGGTGGATGATATAAGTTGGAACCAGACACATACAAAACACTTCCATTGGAGGCCTTGGTTAATTGTGAGTTTAAATTGCAGGATTTGCACTTTTTTCAGAGACTCTGTCAGGCAACGAAAGGAAAGAATACAGGAAAACAGAAAAGTAAACAGGAAAAAGGCTTCATTTTAAGTGTGTCTGTGTCAGTGGGATAGAGAGAGAGAGAGAGAGAGAGAGACCATGTGAGTGGGAAAGTGTCAAGAGAGGTAAGAGTCAGATAAACAGATTAAGAAAGTAAGTGAGAGAAAAGAGGATAAAGTAGACAGGGAAAGACAGGGAAAAAGAGGGCATGAACGTCTTGTAGCGTAAGAGAGAAAAGAGCAGCCAGAGAGAGAGGAAGATAGCGGGAGGATCCCGCTGGATGGGGGGATTGTAACATCACACTATAGGGTCCCTTATGGGACAGCCACAGACGGAGCACACTCCCTGCTGCATGCAGGAAGAGGAAGCTTTGCCAGCGTGGAAAACATACAAGAGTAGAACGAGACACAAGCAGAGCAGAGAAAAACGCAGTTCTCCCCAGAGATGGGAATTTTCTGCTAGCGCACACACTATGTAGGCAGATAGCTGAGAGAGAAGAGGGGAGGAGATGGCAGAGAATAAGTAAAACGAGGGATAGCGGAGGACGGGAGAAGGGAGCAGCATGATGAATAGATGAGATGGTGCATGGGAAAGTAGAGGAGAGCTGTTCAGAGAAAAAGGAAAAGCAGAGGGGGGATACTTTGAAGAAGTCAGATAAATAGATCTGTAACATAATGGTATAATGAGAATAGAGCAGAGCATATAAGGTGATTGGGAAGGGATGTTGTCTTTTGATATTTACTTAAGAGACTAAATTATTACATGTTACTTTAATTTTTAGTTTAATGTTTTTTAACCTGATCCACGCTGCACAAAGCTTCTCTTGTACAACAGTTAAAATACTTAGATTATTCAAAATATTGAATGACTAATTCTTTTAAAACTAATATTAAGGAATTTTCAGTTTAACATTGTGGGAACTAGGTCTTAAATAAGGATGAAAACCCCTTTGTGTATAAAGACGTCAAACATTTTCATCCTTGTGATATTCAATACGATATCTGTGTGTGTGTGTGTGTGTGTGCGTACGTGTGTTTGTGTGCATGCATGTTTGGAGTGTGGATGGTACACATGAAAAGTGCCATTACCCTAAAGTAACTTAAGTGGCGTATTAGTGCAACTCAGTGAGAGCCATGGGGTCATGAGAGAGGCTCTGATCAGAGGTCAGAGTGTGGTGCTGTGAAATGGGACATTACCGCTCACCAACACAGCTATAAATACAGAAAGAAACTTTAACTGCTGTAAAATATGAGGCAGCATATAGGGT